AAAAAAAAAAAAAAAAAAAAAAAAAAAAAAAAAGAAGAGAAAACGTGAATTGGAAAGTTTGGCAGAAAGATTCAAAATTCAAAACAAACCAGCAAAGGATCAGGCGAAGCGAGCCAAAAAGCTCGCGTTAGAGCAGGCGCCGCGAGGCTTGAAGCGAGGTTTTGCGTGTTCCGGGTTTTAGGCCTATTTTGTCTTTTATTTAATTTTGAACTTGTTTATTTCGTTTAGGTCTTTTCCCTACAAGTCATTAAACACCACCTTTGAGGAGGAGACCCAGATTGGACAGATTTGAGATCGGGTATTGGACCTAAGAAGGCAAGAACATACTAGGAGCAAGACAGAGAATTCTTCTACGAGTTTTTCACTTCTTTCTTCCTATTTCCATTATTGGTTATGAATTCTAGTATTGTCGTTATGCATACTATATGAATAACTAATTTATTATCTAGGGTTTTGATGGAACTTATAGGAAGATGATTTTCCTGTTACGTTAATATAGATTTGCTGTAACTTTTTCTCTATTTGTTTAACTGCGTTTATATTGTGGTTGGTTGAAGAGCTCTCAATCGACTATGCCTATTTAGTGTGTATTACTCGGAAGAGAGTGCATATTTAGGTAGTTGTTGAACAACATTACTCCTAATGTATACGAGGGATCAATACGGAGGGTTTAAAGGTGAGATTAGGAATAACGAAACCTTGGTGCGATCCGAATGAGCCGTAACATAGTGCCAGCTAGCGTAATTCGGAAGAATATTTCTAGTAAATTGTGGTAGTTGCTCAGGAGAGAATTACGACACTCAGAGCGCTCATGATCAATAGAGATGCTTAGGCGAGATTATAGAAGACGTAGCAGGAAGGATTCCGACAATTGGGGAAATCATAACTCTAAACCTCCTTAATCTTTTCTCCAATCCCTAGTATCTTCAGTTGTTATTCTACTACTTTAATTATTTAGTTAGTTAGATATAAGAATCTTAATATTTATAACTTAGGAATTGTTGAGCTTATCTTCTTAGTGATAGTCAACAATTGTAGCTAAGCATTAGTTCTCTGTGGAATTCGACTCCGAACATATTAACCGAAATATATTTGCAACGAGCGCTTAATACTTTTTATAAGGCATAGTTGGACGTGATCAGTATACATACAATTATAATATAAATTCAACACAAATGAAATAAAAATATCTAACAGAATGATATACAAAAAGTATTTGGAAGTTTTGCGTCAAAAATTAAGAAGAAGAAAGATGAGAGTGGGAATGGGCGAATGAAATCCTTTATACAGAAGCAAGAACGTCCAATGTTTCTTTTTGATCTAGAATTTGTATGATTTTGGAACTTCAAGAATAGGCCGGATATTTTTAAATAATAGTTAAAAGGGTCAAATGACTAACAATTATGGAATGAATTATAGTTATGCTGGATAGTACAAACAAGAAAATTTTATATGAGGTAAAATCTTATTTTATTTTAAAGACCTAAATTTTAGGTCTCCTAACTTAGTTCAAATAAGAAAAAAATTAATACATAAAATTTCATTAATTATGAAATCTTATATGTTAGGAAAATAACTTACATTACAATTTCGTCAAATGTGAAATCTATTTTTAATGGATAAAAAAGGCGAACGATATTTCGCTAAGGGTCTTCGTACTTTTAATATAGTATATATAAATTTTCATACTCGTCCTAGTATGTTGTAAGTTTGGTTTCCATATTATAGTAATTTTTCATTTTTGAAGACTTAAAATTAGATCTAAAATTTTATTAGCAGATTTCTAACATATTTATATACACTTTATCTAATACACATAAGAAAAAAGTTATCACTACTTTACAACCAAATAAAAATTTACTTATGAACATCAGAATTTAAAACCAAATAAAAATTTACTTATAAATCCTTTCCTTATTTAAATTGTGTAAAGTAATGATAACTTTTTTCTTATATATATGTGTGTATATGCAACCAAAATTTAATTGATTTTAAAGTACTAAATTTCTTCATTTCAGTTGCCTTACTTGACAATATATCATCAGCCTTTTGATTTCTTCCTTGACGTCTCAATTGATCCAATATACTAGGAATATTTCTTTAAGTTTTCTTACATAAAAAAATTTGTGTTGTGGGACATACGTCTGAAAAATAATGTTAAAACTTTCCTAGTAACTACTCTTTATTATAAACGTCAATTATGTAGCCGCCTTAGTTAAGAGTCTTTCATGGCCATGTTTCCGAGTACGAGTGGCAAACGGACGGGGCAGGTCGGATATAGACGGGTCAAAAACAGGTAATACAACCAATATATACTTAATACGGATAGAAAATAATTTAACCGGCGGGTAATATGGATATTTATATTATCTATGACTTCTTTAAAAATGATCACTTTTGGGTTTGAGTCTTTACAAATATAAAAATTAAACTCATTAATTGGTTATCCATTTTTTAAGTGGATAATATGAATCTTATCGATATTTTATCCATTTTTTAAAATTTAGTTATCCAACCCATTTTTGGTGAATTATATTAATGGATAATTATTTTTTTTAATCCATTTTGCCACCACTGCTTCAGCGATTATTAGAGAATTTCCCCGGCATCGTGACAAAAATATTTATATTTTGGCTTCACAATAATTAGTACAAAAAATTTATTTGTTTACATCATTGCGGTTCTTTGAGTCAGCTGAATTGTTTTGACTCTAAAGAAAGTAACAGTTAAGTAAACAAAGTCTGCTTTGACCAGTTGTTGACAAACGAAAGTTGCAGAAAAATACTAGTCCATTATATTTTTCGTTGCATATCCCATTCTGGCCAAAACAAAAGCCTATAAAAGACCACACACAACTGACCTTTGAATTATATCATCAAACCAAATAATCCTCCATTTATCTCCCAAAATGGAATTCTTCAGCTTGGTTTCCATATTCCTATTTCTATCTTTCCTCTTTTTGTTAAGGAAATGTAAGAACTCCAATAGCCAAACCAAACAATTGCCTCCAGGTCCATGGAAAATACCAATACTAGGAAGTATGCTTCATATGCTTGGTGGAGAACCACACCATATCCTTAGGGATTTAGCCAAAAAATATGGACCAATTATGCACCTTCAGTTTGGTGAAATTTCTGCAGTTGTGGTTACTTCTAGGGAGATGGCAAAAGAAGTGCTAAAAACTCATGACGTAGTTTTTGCATCTAGGCCTAAAATTTTGGCCATGGACATTATCTGTTATAACCAGTCTGATATCGCCTTTAGCCCTTATGGCGATCACTGGAGACAAATGCGTAAAATTTGTGTCATGGAACTTCTTAATGCAAAGAATGTTCGGTCTTTCAGCTCGATCAGACGTGATGAAGTCGTTCGTCTCATTGACTCTATTCGATCAGATTCTTCTTCTGGTGAGCTAGTTAATTTTACGCAAAGGATCATTTGGTTCGCGAGCTCCATGACGTGTAGATCAGCATTTGGGCAAGTACTCAAGGGGCAAGACGTATTTGCCAAAAAGATTAGAGAAGTAATAGGGTTAGCAGAAGGCTTTGATGTGGCCGATATCTTCCCTTCATACAAGTTTCTTCATGTTCTCAGTGGAATGAAGCGTAAACTTCTGAATGCCCACCTTAAGGTAGATGCCATTGTTGAAGATGTCATCAACGAGCACAAGAAAAATCTTGCAACTGGGAAAACTAATGGAGCATTAGGAGGTGAAGATTTAATTGATGTCCTACTACGACTTATGAATGATACAAGTCTTCAATTTCCCATCACCAATGACAAAATCAAAGCTGTTATTGTTGTAAGTATTATTGAATACTACAATCCTATGCTTATTCTTACTCTCCCATATCCATTGCCACAGCGATTTTTTTTTTAAAATTTTTTTACCAAGAAAAATAATTTCTTATTAAAAAATAATTTAATGTTATAACTTAGCCATTATTAATTTGCAGGACATGTTTGCTGCCGGAACAGAAACTTCATCAACAACAACTGTATGGGCTATGGCTGAAATGATGAAGAATCCAAATGTATTCAACAAAGCTCAAGCAGAAGTGAGAGAAACCTTTAAAGACAAAGTAACATTTGATGAAATTGATGCAGAGGAGCTGGAATACTTAAAGTTAGTTATTAAAGAAACTTTGAGACTTCATCCACCGTCTCCACTTTTGGTCCCAAGAGAATGTAGGGAAGATACAGATATTAACGGCTACACTATTCCTGCGAAGACCAAAGTTATGGTTAATGTTTGGGCATTGGGAAGAGATCCAAAATATTGGGATGACGCAGAAAGCTTTAAGCCAGAGAGATTTGAGCAATGCTCTGTGGATTTTTTTGGTAATAATTTTGAGTTTCTTCCCTTTGGCGGTGGACGGAGAATATGTCCTGGTATGTCATTTGGTTTAGCTAATCTTTACTTGCCATTGGCTCAATTGCTATATCACTTTGATTGGAAACTCCCGAGCGGAATGATGCCCGGAGACTTGGACTTGACTGAATTAGCTGGAATAACAATTGCTAGAAAAGGTGACCTTTACTTAATGGCCACTCCTTATCAACCTTCTCGCGAATAATTTAATGGCATCAGGTTTTTTAATTCCATTGTCAACCTCACTATTGTACAATCTTTCTGATGTTTCAGGTTTTGCCGATTTGTAATAAATGTAGTTTTTATAATATGTATCATATCCCATGTATAAGAAGGACGATTAATTAGTTGTACCACCTCAGAACTTCTTAGGAAGATGTGTTATTTTGTGGTGTTTTGGACAATCTTTTGGAGAAGATAACAAATAAAAGTATAAATAAGAAGGTTATTAATAGTATTACTTTTCGTATTATTCAATATGAGTCAAGAAAATTTGATCTTCTTCTGAATGAAGGAAGTTATAATTTGTTCATTCTCAGTGGACCTCTGGCTTCTTTAGGAAGTTCACATTCTTGTAAGAAAATTCTTGGGGTTTGAATATGGTTGTGGCAAATTTTGCTTGCGCATTTGCGACCTCATTTTCTTCTCTAAAACAATGTGTAACTTGAATGTTCCTCTGTAACATCTTCTATGTATGGCTTCGATTGCTCCTTGCAATTTCTAGGTGGTTTGTGTTCCCCATTAATCACCTGGACTATAAGCATAGAGTCCAGCTCCAACTCAGTGTGTTAAAATTCTGGTCGCAATACCAAGATACCCCAATTAAGGCTGCATAAGCTTCATTGAAATTGTTAGTGTAGAATTGAGTAGGATAGGCAAAAGCCATTATCATCTTTCCATTTCTATTCCTAACAGATCTCTCAGCTCCAGCCTTATTTGGTTAACCATATAGCTTCCATCTGTGTTGATTTTCATAGTATCATGTGTGGCAGGTGGTAAGTAGCAAAAATTGATGAACGCTGTTCTTTGGTTGTGATTTCCACCACTGCCAAAGAAAACTTACGACATTACTCCCAGTAGGACTAATACCTTGAGGTCTGGACATAAAATTCCAGACCTTCTTGGCTATTTCACTACCTTTGAAAATATGATCAGTAGTTTCATCCTTAAGGTCCCTGCAACAAGAACATCTCAAAACCAAGTTAAAATCAAATCTTAAGATATTATCATCTAAAGGGAGTTTCCTTTTAAGCAGTTTCCACATAAATAAGGAAACTACAAAATGGGAGCTCCCTAATCCAGATGCTAGAAATACTGGGGAGGGGATGGTGTTTCTGTCTAGGAAATTAAAAGCAGTAGCACAAGAGAAAATTTATGGAACAGTTATAGAAAAGTTAAGAAAGTAACTGTATCATGTATCAGCAAGCTCATAATGACTTAACTTTAATATTTATCAATTTTTTTAGGATAAATTTAATTTGACCTCTAAATATTTGGGAGGAATTGCTATTTGGTTGTATTATAGAAGGTGGACTTTACTGCTTATATTGAGAAGCATGAGTTCTGCTATGATGCTGTTCTATATGAGCATGTTACAAATGATCAGGTATCTTTTCATTATATATGTAAAAGATTAGTTACAAAGACTGAGGCTTTATACAAAGGTTGTGCCAAAAATTTTCATAACTGATTTCAACTACTTTTACTTTTTTCTCAATACAAGATTTAGTTATAGTGATTGTTGCTTTATAAAAAGGTTTTGCATAAAATTTTCATAACTAATTCTGTCTACTTTTTTTTTTTTGCTCAATACAAGATGATTTACCACATATTGTTTTGCAACTTAATCATGTATTCACTGCTTTGCAGGTTTGTAGAGCTACTGTAGAACTAATTATCCCAACCATCTTTTAGCGCACGAAAGCTACATAATTTATTTATGGCGAGATAGGTCTGCTGCATTTCTTCACATGCTTGGTTAACTTTTTTTCCCAGAAGCTGCTTATTATTATCTTGTATTTTCTGCTTCAGGATATGAGGCGGTAGTCAAATAAAATTGGCGAGACAACGATAGTACCTATTATTGTGCCACAAATAGATGCCATTGTGAGGTTGATCTATTCCTGTATTTTTGGATTGAGACCTTTTATGGGAATGTTAAGAATGCTCTTTTCTTGATTATCTATATTGATTTTCTTTTGAATTTGAGACAAAAATAAGGCTCTTGGTATCTTTAGTTCCAATTAGTTTAGTCTTCATACATTGCATCTTTTAGGAATACACTGCATGTAGATAGCTAATAGTTGAACCACCTATGTTTCAAATCTTTTTTTCTAAATCACAAAACTAATTTTTCTCACTTTTATTGTCTTTTACTTGGTAAGTAAATGTCTAATTCATAAAGGGAGAGTTTCTGCATTGATTGATAGAGAGATGGAATGTGCCAGGTCTAATGAGCATAACTGACTCTCCTCCTCCCTTTTATGTTATGCCGTTTACTCTTTCAAAACTGACATGACTTAGTTTTTAGCCAAGGGCATATGGTGACACTGCTATAAAGTGTAACGAAAAGGAGATAAACACTAATTTTGAGCTAAGATATAAAAAGGAAATAAGTTTCAAGGCTAATAGTGGAAGTAGTAAATTAGGGCTTTCACACACATTTGAACTCCTTTATAATTGTTGTTCCTTTTTCAGTTATGTACTTATTGTATTTAAAAGCATAGTTTTTTCCTTCCCCTATGACGGTCATGGCTAATGAACTATAGAATAGCCCCAGTATTTAGTTGATGACTGGCATGGCATCGCATGCCAAATCGAAAATTATGAACTCCGGCATCCCTAATAAGGTTTGACTAAATAGAGTGGTGCCATGGTAATTCAATATCATGCTTTTCATTAAGATTTTTGGTACTTATCGACTTATGAAATATCTGACAATGGAATATTGGTAATTTATAATTTAATCAATAATCATGATTTCTTAGTTACATATCTTTTATGCAAAAAAAATTTCTATCACAGTGGGAAGTAAACTGCCTTATGGCCCTCAAATGCTGACTAATCAACCTCTTCTTTGGAACGTAGTGAATACCGTTATTATTCTCATATTAAAGGTATACTCTTTGCCAAATTTTGTTGCACCTTTTTAAATTTTTGTTGAGTCGTAAATATCACATTCACTAATGAGTAAAATAAAATTTAACTTTCATGGTCTGTCAATTGTTTGAATAGGTTAGAGCTTTTACTAAGCAATTTAAAATTTATTTGGACCACTAATGGAAAATTCTCAATTTTGTGTTAACTCAAATTGTTCTCACGAAAATATTATAACACTTTAATCAGCTCTGAAGGTATTAAATTTTAACTTTTAAGTGCCTAAGTGGTTTTTGTATTGGGAAAACACTGAGCCTGAATATTGAAGATGACGTGTCATGACACGTGGACTGGTCAAAAGGTCAAAACACAATAAATAGCCAAGAGACACGGGCGACAACATATATGGGGAAAAGAAAGCAACATAGGTGTGGACCGTTACTAAAATAGGTACGAGTCTCATACCTATTCGAGTCATTTAAAGATCAAAGATCGGAAGAAGTTGAAGATACGAATCTGATGACGTAAAAGAGTCTAAATACGGCATTAAATATTAAATACGTTAGAGAATTTGAATAAAATAGAAATGATTGTGTAACATTTCTTTTAAATGTCATTTATTGCTCATAATTGCCTCATTAAGACAAAGGCATTATATCTTCTCCTAGAATCAACTATAAAAGGAGAAGGACTCAACATCTGTAAGGACACGAAATATTATTGAGATTACACTGAAATACACAACTACTTATTACTTTATTATTCTCAGAACTCTTCTATTATTTTCGTCTCCAGATTATCAGTAACCCGAATTTCTCTTTATTTCTAGTTTTGATCAAAGACTCAGATTTTTGGTTAAACAAATTGGTTCCGTTACCGGGAATTTGATAATCTTCTCTTTTAAGCTATGTTCCAGCCGTTGTTATCATCATGTCAAACAACAATAACAGTGAAAACACCTTGGGAAACCATGAAAATCAAATCCATCAAAATCAAGGAGATTTACAGAACATTGACGTGGTTCCCTCCCCTCAAAATTCACCACGTCAATCTCGTGAAGGCACTCCTACTCCTGAATCTCGTGCTGATCAACAAGAGCAATCTGAACATTTTGAAGGGGTAGATGAAGCTTTACAAAAAGTAATTGATGCACGGGTTAGCAAAGCTCTTCAGGCTCTAGTTAGTCGATTACCTGTTGCACCACCCACACCTACTCCTAATAATAATACATTGGAGAATCCTCGTTCTGGCCTTGTTATTTTTGGAAATGGAGGAACCCCCAGCGAACCACAGGAAGGAGAACCAGGTAATTCAAATAATTCTCATTTGCAAAATTTAGTACTAACTTTGCAGAAACAGCTTAAGGAACAGAATGAGCGCATCGAGCAAATCCCTGGAGTTCCCCCTGTAATCAAAGGAGTGGATGTGGATAAATACTAACAACAACCTTGGAAACCAAGTGCTGCTCCCCTTCCAATCCCTAAAAAGTTCAAAATGCCTGACGTCTCAAAATATGATGGCACAACAGACCCACATGATCACGTAACTGCATTTACAACAAGCGTGAAAGGCAATGACTTGACCAAACAAGAAATTGAATCAGTACTGGTCAAGAAATTTTGAGAAACACTCACCAAGGGTGCATTAACCTGGCATTCTCTTTTACCCGAAAATTCTATTAATTCTTTTGCTGAGCTTGCAAATTCTTTTATTAAAGCACACTCGGGAGCTCAAAAAGTTGAAAAAAGAATGGAGTATATATTCAAAATCAAGCAAGAGGACTTCGAGTTGCTCAGAGATTTTGTTGATAGATTCCAACGTGAAAGAATGACTTTACCTCGTGTACCTGATAACTGGGCTGCAATAGCTTTTGCAAGCAACTTAAATGACAAAAGCTCAGAAGCTACGAGAAGACTGAAAGAAAGCCTTCAAGCGTTCCCTGCAACCACGTGGAATGACGTTTATAACAGGTATAGTACGAAGTTGCAAATTGAGGAAGATACCGTACCTCAGTTTCATCATGAAAAAAGGAGCAAATCCAGGAGATCAAAAACAGAAAAAAGATCAGGTAAAAACAGGTACGATCCATATATGGGACCTGTAGGGAAAGACTCATGGTCAAAATAGGATAGTCAACGATATGATAAAAAATTGAGGAACAGGGAATCTGGTTCTTCATCAAGGTTCAGAAATGACCGAAACAGACAAGAGTCACGAGATGATGACAGAAGTTTAAAGGCAATGTTCGGCAGATATAACTTTAATGTCACTACCTCCGAGCTCGTAGCTGTTTTGAGGAGCATGAGGGATAAGGTACGATGGCCAAAAGAGATGCGGTCAAATCCAAATAGACGCAATCCAGACCATTGTTGCGAATTCCACAATGATCACGGGCACAAAACTTTAGAATGTAGATTCTTACAAAGTGAAGTGGATTATCTATTGAAACAGGGGTATCTCACTGAGTTATTTAGTGAGAAAGGTAAGCAAGCCTATATGAAAAATAGGCAGGAGCCACCAAAGCCTCCTTCCCCAAGAGAACCGTGAATGTTATAAGTGGGGAAGAAGATATTCACGGTGTAACATATACGGCTACCAACAAGGTTTCTAAAGTAATGATAACACACGGTAAACGGGTACGACAAGTTTTAGAAAATGAAAGTATTTCTTTCGATGATGCAGTTACCGAAGGAGTAATGACCCTACAAAACAACGCACTGGTAATATCTTTACTTGTATATGATACTAATGTAAAACGAGTTTTGATTGATCCAGGAAGTTCCATGAATATTATACTATTAAGGGTATTACGTGAAATGCAAGCTAAAGACAAAATGATACCTAAGGCGCATACCCTATATGGGTTCGACAATTCAAGTGTGGTAACAAAAGGAGAGGTAATTCTAACAACTTTTGCTGCAGGTGTTGTTAAAGAAACTAAATTTCAGGTAGTAGATATGGAAATGGCTTACAATATGATCATGGGGAGACCTTGGATCCATGACATGGATGCTGTCCCATCAACTCTATATCAAGTTATTAAATTCCCATCACCTTGGGGAATTTGCCAAATTCATGGGGATCAGCAAACAGCCAGGAGTATCAACGGTGTAACAGATACGAGCACCATAAATAAAGAAAAATAGCAATTACAGGAAACAGTTGAAGGTATCAAGGATCAAACCTCAACCGAACAAGAAAAGACAGATTTAGACTCGAGACCTGATACAATTCAGGAACCTGAAGAGAATGAAAATATCAAAACAACAATTGAAGAGCTCGAGGCTGTGATATTATTTGGGCAATGGCCTAAACGGAAGGTTTATGTTGGAGCCAATTTATGCTCAGATATGCGAGGTATGTTGATTGAATTTTTAAAAGCTAA